TCAAGAAGTTCCTTGCGTACTTTATGTCTACTTATTACTATAAAAGTTATTCATAAAAAGCGCCAGCCATTCCAAGATTTGTTGATAAAAAAAATCTATAAAACAAATCTATTTTCTCCCCGAACTTTACTATGCAATGAGCTAGGGGGCCGAGCGCTGCGGCTATAAAAGACCAATTCAATTCACAATTTTTAATAAAATGAGTGTATTTAATTAGGGTTAGTATAGGAAGCTCATTTCTGGGCCAAGCGCGCTGCGGCTAGGACAGGCTAGGGGGCCGAGCGCTGCGGCCACATGTCTGGGCCGACCTACGAAAAATGCCCATCCGACCTACGTAAAATGCCCATCCGAACTACGAAAAGTGCCCATCCGACCTACGAAAAACGTCCATCCGACCTGCGAAAATTGCCCATCCGACCTACGAAAAATGCCCATCCGACCTATACGAAAAATGCCCATCCGACCTACGAAAATGCCCATCCGATGGCTTAAAGTAGGTCGGATGCACCAACATGCTGTTTTTAACGTGCCCGATCCGACCTACAGTGCATCGGACCTACCGCAGCTGTTAACCACGTGGTTGTAGGTCGGATGGGCAGAGCCCGCGATTTAAAAAATTCGAGAAAATAAGGCTCGAGTCTAAGCTGTCGTTGAGCCTTATTTACGACTTGAGCTTTCGGATTCAAGCTGCATCAATTATTTTTCACAGAGTTTAGTTCAAAAAAACAGTTTAATATTCTATTTGGCGGAATTTCATAGTAGGAATGGGCGCATTCCGGGTTTTTATGAGAACAAGACGCAACATTGAGCCTTNATGCACCAACATGCTGTTTTTAACGTGCCCATCCGACCTACAGTGCATCGGACCTATCGCAGCTGTTAAAACCACGTGGTTGTAGGTCGGATGGGCAGTAGAGGGGATGGGGCCATGGGCGTAGGTCCAAAAATACACCATCTATTTTTGATTTAGATGGTTAAATGAAGACGATCGAAAAATGTATTCAATGCCGCAACATATTCACGATACTCTCACCAACACACGGCGACTATGTAGTTTCTTCAGATTTTAGACAATCTTACTAAAATTGCACGTAGTGTAAATATTTGATACTCATTTTGTTTATTGCCAAACTGTTAAGTACTGAAACCCATACAGTATATATCGTCAAATAATTATACCGATCATTACAACCAAATATGCTTTAAAAACGACGCGGCTAGGACGGGCAAGGGGGCTGCATGTACATTTTTGATGTTGGGGGGGGGGCAAAAATCCTGCTCAAGGAAGTTACCTGAAATGATATTGTTCAACCTGAAGTTACTTGAAATGATATTGTTCAACCTGAAGTTACCTGAAATGATATTGTTCAACCTGAAGTTACCTGAGCCCGCGATTTAAAAAATTCGGGGAAATACGGCTCGGGTCTAAGCTGTCGTTGGACCTTATTTACGGCTTGAGCTTTCGGATTAAAGCTGTAGGGAACCCTGTCATGGATAGGTAGGTTCTAATTATTAAATATACAGGGAAACCCTGTCATGGATAGGTAGGTTTATTAAATATACAGTTTAGGGATAAATATATGCGAAAAAAATAGAACAAAAAGTTGAAAATTATTTTTTGTTTAAAAAATTCAGTAAATCTTAAAGAAATGACCTGGATCCGAATCGGGATCCATTTTTTTCCTGTGCGGATCCAGGATCCGGATCCGCATCAAAATTAAATAGATCCTAAGCACTGGAATTACGTTAACCATCGTGATTTTATTCCAATTTTGAGACCACTGTATTTGGTGATCTTGAGGAAATAATATTAGTATTCAAATCCATATTTTGGTTCAAAACAACGAAACTGATAATTAAAAATAGCAATTCTACATTTTGAATATATATATTTAAATTAAGATTTTCAAATATTTAGATTACTCATGAATAAAGATAAAAAGCTTAGACAACAGCCCGATATTAACGTTTAAACATTCTTTTTAAACAAAAACTAGATAAAATTTAAGTATACGAAGAAACGACTTTTCTGGATACCAAAACCAAATTTGTAATGTAACTAACTCTATTTAACTAAAAAACGTGTTTTTTAATAATAAAAAAACGCTTAGGGAATATGACCGGGGGGAGTTTGCAGTTCCTGATCAGGTCAAGAAGTTCCTTGCGTACTTTCAGGTACAGATATATATATATATAGAAATATAATTGCAATTATAGAATTATCATTGTTATAGAAATATTATCACAATTTTAGCGATATTATCATGTTTAAAGAAATATTATCATAGTTAAGGAAATATTATCACAATCATAGAGATCCAGATGTTAAATTCCAAATTAATTTGGGGAAAAAATCACAATTATATACATATAACATGACAATTATTAAAAAAAACATTGTTAAAGAAATTAAATCACAATTATACGATTAAAATGACAATTATACAAATAAAATCACAATTATAGAAATTAAATCACTATAGCAGATGAAATCACAATTATACAAATATAATCACAGTTATATAAATTAAATCACTATTACAGGTAAAATCACAATTATACAAATAAAATCACAGTTATAGAAAAGAAATCACTATTACAGATGAAATCACAATTATACAAATATAATCACAGTTATATAAATTAAATCACTATTCCAGGTAAAATCACAATTATACAAATATAATCACAATTATACAAATATAATCACAATTATAGAAATTAAATCACTATTATAGATATAAAATGACAATTATACAAATATAATCACAATTATACAAATATAATCACTATTACAGATGAAATAACAATTATATAAATATAATCACAGTTATATAAATTAAATCACTATTACAGGTAAAATCACAATTATACAAATATAATCACAATTATAGAAATTAAATCACTATTACAGATGAAATCACAATTATACAAATATAATCACAGTTATATAAATCAAATCACTATTACAGGTAAAATCACAATTATACAAATATAATCACAATTATAGATAAAAAAATCACTATTATAGATAAAAAATCACAATTAAAGAAATGAAATCACAATTATAGAAATTAAATCACTATTACAGATGAAATCCCAATTATACAAATATAATCACAGTTATATAAATCAAATCACTATTACAGGTAAAATCACAATTATACAAATAAAATCACAGTTATAGAAATGANAGAAATTTAATCACTATTATAGATATAAAATCACAATTATACAAATATAATCACAATTATAGAAATATGTATAAAATAACATTTATATGTTTTCAGGATATGATCAAAGAGCGGAATGTTTATGAGGAAAATATCAGTTTAAAAATTACAATGTTTCAATTATTGTTATTTAACTTTATTTTAAATCGCATTATATGTTTTTAAATGACCACCCAGTGGGTTAAAAAAAGATTAATTATATTTAGTAAGAGTTTTAATTTTTTTCAGAAATTATATTCAGCCCCGAAATATTTTTAAGAAAAAAGGGGTTTAAGAACCCCCTTACTATCTTTTTTAATGAAAATTTTTCAGAAGTATGTTTGCACAGAGGGTCAAATTGTTTTTATTGTTGTATTTGCTAAATGTCTTTTTGGGTTAAAGCACTTTAAAAGTATCAAGGGATTAAAGAACTTAAAATCTAATGTCCAATTTTTCTTTTTATCCGCATTTTTATTATTAATAAAATTTATAACCCTGTTTCGGAGAATAATTCTCCGGAAATGTTGTAAAAACATTTTAAATTGATATTTATCTAGTTAAATACTCTTTATGAAACCAACTTCCCAAAACTCACGGAGCAGTACTTTAAGGTATACATCATAGATTTATTTCTTGAAGGGGGAGGCGAGGAGAATAAGTCTATAATCTTGTTATACTAGTCTTGAATATTTTCTCAGCATTTAATCTATTCTATTGTTAATTATTATTTATTAAGTAAAATTATACAAGAACATTTTCCGTTTTTTCTTGATTTTTTTCTTACCCACACGTGTGCACGTGCAGGTTGTCATTTTTTTCTCTCTTCTTTACGTCTGTCCAGTTTCTGGTGCAGTTTTTGAAAGAACTATTTCGAGGTTGCTCTGAAGAAATTATGCCCTACATCAAGCAGGATCCCATCTTTGTATTCTTGTACAAGGAACTCTGCTACAGGCATATATATGCAAGGTAAGTTATGGTTAAACTCCTATATAGGTGGGCAGGGGGATATACACTAGGTTAAACCCCTGTACACATTTCCTTTAAAGTGTCTTGAAAACTTTTTTCTTCTAAATATCTTGCCAGGATGATAAGCTAACTAAGTAACCTTTGAAATAATGTGACTGCCTTAACATTCAATTGCAGAGTACTTTGGGTTCCCTTTTAGATTTACACTTGATGATTTCAGTTTAGATTAGTGTAGTTTATATCTGTTTCAGGGTCCCTGGAGGTCCAGCTGTATACAATCCCTTCAGTTTATATCTGTTTCAGGGTCCCTGGAGGTCCAAATGTATACAATCCCTTCAGTTTATATCTGTTTCATGGTCCCTGGAGGTCCAACTGTATACAATCCCATCAGTTTATTTCTGTTCCAGGGTCCCTGGAGGTCCAACTTACAATTCCTTTCAGTTTTTTTCTGTTTCAGGGTCCCTGGAGGTCCAATTGCATACAATCCTTTTCAGTTTATTTCTGTTTCAGGGTCCCTGGAGGTCCAACTTACAATTCCTTTCAGTTTTTTTTCTGTTTCAGGGTCCCTGGAGGTCCAACTGCATACAATCCTTTTCAGTTTATTTCTGTTTCAGGGTCCCTGGAGGTCCAACTGTGTACAATCCCTTTCAGTTTATTTCTATTTCAGGGTTCCTGGAGGTCCAACTGTAGAGCAGAGAATGAGCTCCTACTTCAACTACTGCCATGTAACTATTGAACAATATTAAGCTTGTCGCGTCCATAAAGGGACTGTCGGCGTAGTTTTAAATTACTCTCCATATATGTAAAGATTTACATGTCCGATTCACAACGTTAGTCTTTACATCTCTATCTGAGCAAAAGTGATGTAGAAATCCGCATTCTCTATGAACTTTATCTTTAAATTTTTTTGTCAATTTGAGTTTTGAAATTGAACTTTTAAACGTTTCCTGCAGTTGTACACCTTATATGCTGGTTTGCATGCTGTAAACGGCTGAATTCAATCCTTATATATTTGGAGAGTTCAAGGTTGTCATTAAGTCTCACCCTATCTGAGACTTAATTTACATAGTTTTCTCTTGTTTTTAAGTTTAACATGGTTTATGTTAAGGACCACGATTTACATACATGTGCAATGTGCGGCCTCTTTAAAGCTAATGAAACCGAGAAGGACGCATATTTGTATAAAATATGCGTCCTGTTTCTGTCAATTTAGGGTAGTGGTGAGACAGGTTTCAAATTTGAGCGTTACGAACGAGACAGGGGTGTATATTTCCTCGTAAAATCATTTTTCTCCTTCCCCTTTTGAAAAAAAAAAATTCTCCCAGAGGATATAAATGCATTTTAGGGTTTTATTTTCGGGGAAAATCACGATTTTCAGGGGAAATAAATGCATTTTTTAAATTGAANTTCTGAAAAATATACATCCCTGGACCGAGAACTTGGAAGAAAATTGATTGATTGATTGTTTAGATTTTCAACTACATCTTGTCTGCTGAGACTCCGGTAAATCTGGAGCTACCGAACCAGTGGCTCTGGGAGATCATTGATGAGTTCATTTATCAATTCCAGGTTTACTTCTTTAACTAACTATTTATACTAACTTGATACTTACGAGGTAATTCTCTTCTTTTTTTCTTCATTTCCTTGAGTTCTTCATGTGTTGGATGCTATGGTAAACATTTTTTTCATATCGGCGGCAACTAGTTAAAATAATTATAATAATCCAGCTTTATAATCTTTCTTGACATTATATATTCACCGATGACTGACCTAAAAACTCCTTTAGCAAAAAAGTTTTATACCCCTGTAATCATATAAGTAAATAAATGATTTCTAGGGGGAAATGAGTGATTTTTTCGGGGTGGGGTGGAGGGGGCGGAAAGGTGCCAAATAGGGAACTAGCCTGGACAATGACATGTTAAAGCTTCGAAAAAAAAACGCCCACCTAGACCTGAAAACAAAACAAAACTCATCATAATTTAAGATATGAACAAAATTGACCCTAGCGTAAGTTATACGTTCCATCATCAAAGAAAGATGATGGAATCCAAAAATGAGAAAAAGTTTTAAAATCTTTTTTTTCCTTTTCAGGCGTTTTCTCAGTATAGATGCAAGCTGCAGAAGAAAACTGATGAAGAGATTGAATATCTCAAACAGAATCCCAAGGTTGGTCTATAATCTGGGAACTGTCCCTTTATCACTCGAAATTAAAGTTATGATCAGCTAATTACTTTTCCGAGTTATTTCTGTAAAAGAGAACTAAGTAACAAGTGAATGTACAATTGTGGACTTCAAAAGAGACATCGAAGTTCTGGAAAAACATATTTTATATTTCAGGTGTTCAGGGTAAATATAAATATCAGAACACACTTCTGCTACTACAAATACTCGATATCGTACATTCTTAAACTCAAGCTTAATATTCTTTTAGATTTATCTCTCTTCTTTACGTCTGTCCAGTTTCTGGTGCAGTTTTTGAAAGAACTATTTCGAGGTTGCTGTTTTTTTTATTTATTTATTGACACGTGTACCTCAATAGTGTTACTTGTATTTATCTTGCTGAATAAGGGTTTCAATTATATTATATTTTACTCATGGCTTTATTTATATTTATTCGCCATATTTTTGTATGTTTTTAACAGCTAACTAGGACTAAAGCAAGTTTAGGTTATATACATTTTGTCCTGTTATTTCTAGAGTTGTGCTTGGCCGGATGCTGAAGAAATTATGCCCTACATCAAGCAGGATCCCATCTTTGTATTCTTGTACAAGGAACTCTGCTACAGGCATATATATGCAAGGTAAGTTATGATTAAACCACTGCACTGTAGAGGGGGGCAGGAGATAAACACTAGGTTAACCCCTGTGCATATTTCCTTTAAGTAACCTTTGAAATAATGTAACATTCAATTGCAGAGTACTTTGCGTTCCCTTTTAGATTTACACTTGATTTTAGATTAGTTTAGTTTATATCTGTTTCATGGTCCCTGGAGGTCCAACTGCATTCAATCTCTTTCAGTTTATTTCTGTTTCATGGTCCCTGGAGGTCCTACTGTATACAATCCCTTTCAGTTTATTTCTGTTTCAGCGTCCCTGGAGGTCCAACTGTATACAATCCCTTTCAGTTTATCTTTGTTTCATGGTCCCTGGAGGTCCAACTGTATACAATCCCTTTCAGTTTATTTCTGTTTCAGGGTCCCTGGAGGTCCAACTGTATACAATCCCTTTCAGTTTGTTTCTGTTTCAGGGTCCCTGGAGGTCAAATTGTATACTATCCCTTTCAGTTTATTTCTGTTTCAGGGTCCCTGGAGGTCCAACTACATACAATCCCTTTCAGTTTATTTCTGTTTCATGGTCCCTGGAGGTCCAACTGTATACAATACCTTCAGTTTATTTCTATTTCAGGGTCCCTGGAGGTCCAACTGTAGAGCAGAGAATGAGCTCCTACTTCAACTACTGCCATGTNAAAATAAAACTCATCATAATTTAAGATATGAACAAAATTGACCCTAGCGTAAGTTATACGTTCCATCATCAAAGAAAGATGATGGAATCCAAAAATGAGAAAAAGTTTTAAAATCTTTTTTTTCCTTTTCAGGCGTTTTCTCAGTATAGATGCAAGCTGCAGAAGAAAACTGATGAAGAGATTGAATATCTCAAACAGAATCCCAAGGTTGGTCTATAATCTGGGAACTGTCCCTTTATCACTCGAAATTAAAGTTATGATCAGCTAATTACTTTTCCGAGTTATTTCTGTAAAAGAGAACTAAGTAACAAGTGAATGTACAATTGTGGACTTCAAAAGAGACATCGAAGTTCTGGAAAAACATATTTTATATTTCAGGTGTTCAGGGTAAATATAAATATCAGAACACACTTCTGCTACTACAAATACTCGATATCGTACATTCTTAAACTCAAGCTTAATATTCTTTTAGATTTATTTTTTCGTTTATATAAGAAACGCAAAAAGGCGAACAGGAACCATGGTGTACACTATACAGAATGTATATTTAGGTGTGGAATATACATGGTGTACAGAATGTATGTTTAGGTGTGGAATATACATGGTGTACTAAATGTATATTTATTTTAGGTGTGGAATATACAGGGTGTACAGAATGTATGTTTTCGTGTGGAATATAAATGGTGTACAGAATGTATGTTTAGGTGTGGGATATACATGGTGTACAGAATGTATGTTTAGGTGTGTAATATACATGGTGTGCGGAATGTATATTTAGGTGTGGAATAACCATGGTGTACAGAATGTATGTTTAGTTGTGGAATATACATGTTGTACAGTGTATGTTTAGGTGTGGAATATACATGATTTACTAAATGTATGTTTAGGTGTGGAATGTACATGGTGTACTGAATGTACTGCACTCCCTGGTGGATAAGTCGAACATAAACAAACAGTTAGAACTGTACAACAACCAAGGAAATCCGGACCAGGTCAAGAATGTTAAATTTTAGAAACATATTTAAAACTTTATTATGAACAAATCAAACTAGAGTTAAGTGAAGTCATACATACCATTTCCAAAACTAACAAATCAGCATTGCAACATGATCTTACAACTCAATATTTGAGAATTTATTTTTGTTCTTCTATTCTGTAAACTGCTTCAATAAAAGTTATTGTTAATATTTTGAAAACTGAAATATTGTCATTTTATGGAGATATAATTTCAGCCAACCGTACAAAAAAAAGATTTCTACATAAACATGTTAAAATTAAGAAATAAGTGAAGAACTCACGTGACCCAATTACTGGTTCTTATATTTACATTAGTCATGAATTTTATAACCTTTTCACAAGAAAGATGAAAACTTCATGTAGGCTAATCTTGTACACTGTAAAGAAAAACCTCTTAGTTGACAATAAATTAACAAAAGTGAAAGTTAATGTTTTTGTGAATCAATGACGTAACTCTGAATATCGCATTTGAAAAGTAATGTTTGTTTTAGGTTGCTGGAGAGTTTGGGCGTCATTCCCTTTACAAGATGTTGGGATACTTTTCTCTAGTTGGACTTCTTAGGTACTCCCCACCGCGCTCAATTTTCTAATAATTTACTTCCTAAACACCCCTCTCACTTCCCTCTCCTCCCCCACCGCGCTCAATTTTCTAATAATTTACTCCCTAAATACCACCCTCTCCTCCCTTATTTCCCTCTTCAATATTATAATATTTCTAATAATTTAGGCTGCATTCTCTTCTCGGAGACTTCTATCAGTCCATCAAGGTAAGCAGTTCAGGGTTTAATTCATTGTTAATTCATCTCTCGAAACATTCCTTTTTTATAATGGTTTACTTTTTGCCTCAAATTATTGACTTGATCGATTGTCTTAACTGATTGATTGAATGCCCGAGTGATTGACTGATGATTTTCCTGATTGATAAACTAAATTGACTCATTAATTGAATGATTAAATTGAATTGGACGAGTGATTGACAGAGTCTGATGATTGATTTCTAGGTTCTGGAGAACATAGAACTGAACAAGAAGTCTCTGTACTCCCGTGTACCTGGCTGTCAGATCACCACGTACTACTACGTAGGGTCAGCACATAATTTATTATAGTACACTAGTTCATAATATACAATTTCTTATTTACAATTAACAATTGATGGTGCATTTATGTTATTGTTTTGTAATTACAATTAAGAATTGACGATGTATTCTTGCGCTTTATTTATTATTATTTTATAAGTTTTTTTCTAGAATTTTCTCTTAATCAATTTTGTGTTGAAATTGTTATTGTTCAGATTTGCGTACATGATGATGAGAAGATATGCTGACGCTATAAGAACCTTCTCCAACATTCTCCTCTACGTTCAGAGAACTAAACAGATGTTCCAGGTAAACCTTGTTCACGGTCGATCTTGCTTTAATTACTTTCGATCATGCTTTACGGTCGATCCTGCTTTAACTACTTTCGATCATGCTTTACGGTCGATCCTGCTTTAACTACTTTCGATCGTGCTTTAACTTAAGCTATGCCCGATTGTATTTATGTTTGAATGGGAAGGGTTGTATATTTTCCCCAAAAATCAAGTTTTTTTCTAGTACACAGAATTTGTTTTGCTGTTTTCGGGAAAATACATGGTTTTTAGGAAAAATAAATGATTTTTAGGTGGGGGGATTATATTTTGGGCAAAAGTATTAAAAGAAGGAAAAAGCTTGTCGCTTCTTTATTTATTTTTTCAAATCAACAAAAATCTTTATCATGAAAAATATACTCACAAGATTTCTAATCTGAAATAAAGCTGTGCTATGAACTAACTATATTGTTGAATTTAGACTAAATCCTACCAGAATGATCTAATCAACAAACAGACAGATCAGATGTATGTTCTTCTATCCATCTGTCTAGTTCTTCATCCACAGAGAATAGATGAATCTATTCATACTTGCCTCAGGTAATCAATTATTCATCCTTATGTTAATTCAGTTTGTTATTCATTCATTCTCAAAGAAAAGATTAATCCATCCTGCATTTAGTGTATATTCTGACTACCCAGCAGCCGCCGCCCCCTAGTGTAAAGTTCGGGGGATCTTTACCTAAGCCATTCTCCTTGTTCTTACTTCCATGTTGAATACAAACATTATGTCAAAATTACAACAATGTATATTGTATATTGTGTACACTGAACCCATTTTAGAGTAAGAACTTTTGTTGCGAATCTCAAAGAGATCTAAATATTTATAATTTAGGGAGAAGCAGTACTCTGAGAAGATGAACAAGATGCAGAGAGGGGAGCTAGCAGAGTTTGATGCTTGCTTCACATTTGCTTGTCCGAAGGTAAGTTGTAATAGAATTTTAACGGCGCCTCACGGCCCTTTTTCTTTTCACAGTTTTAGCTATCAAATGTTGCTTTTCTTTTCGTTATTTCTTCCTCGCACATCATGAAACTAAAAACTTTACGAAATTTACCAAATATAAGTACATGATTACATGATTCTATGATTGCATGATTCCATATATCGATTAACTGATTTGCTGCTAAAATTTTGCACAATGGTTGAAAATTAATTCTATATTTCACTGTTTTAGTTCTTGAGCCCTGTACCTCCCTCCTACGAGAGTTTGATGGTCGAGAATGAGGCTCATAGGGAACCCCTTAGGCTCCAGCTTAAGGTTAGTGGATTGATGTCATGTCATGTCATGTCATGTCATGTCATGTCATGTCATGTCATGTCATGTCATGTCATGTCATGTCATGTGATAAGATTGGATTAGATTTATAGATATTTAATTGGTTTTAAATGTGTTGATTGATTCAATTAGTCATTTATTGATTGGTTGATTCATTGGTTGATTCATTTATTGATTGGTTGATTCATTGATTGATTGGTTGATTCATTATTGATTGGTTGATTCATTTATTGATTGGTTGATTCATTTATTGATTGGTTGATTCATTTATTAATTGGTTGATTCATTTATTGATTGGTTGATTCATTTATTGATTGGTTGATTCATTGATTGATTGATTCATTTAGTCATTTATTAATTCACTAGAAATTCAAGGCGCTACATTTTAAAACAAAGAAGAAAAAAATTTTGCGGATTTTTTAAAAAATATTCGCGGATTTTTAAGAATTTAATTTTTTTTACAAAATTTAAAACCTTAAAAACCTTTTTTTTAATTTTTATCATTCATAAACCTTCCCTGTGCTCACGTGATGTCCCACAAAAAATTTGGGCCCGATCGGTTTAGCCGTTTTGACGTTTATTGGATACAAACAAACAAACAGACAAACAGACAAGCCAAATTTATATATAGAAGATTGATTCGTTGATTGATTCGTTGATTGATTCATTGATTGATTCATTGATTGATTCATTGATTGATTCATTGATTTACTGATTATTATTTAGGTATTCATGGAAGAAGTTCAGCAACAACTTATGCTGCCCACTATCAGGTGACTAAAAATTATCTAAATTCGAAGTAAAAAAATACATTTTCGCTGTGTACATTAATTAAAATATTTTTTTTCATAAAATATCTCTAATGGTAATATTTGGGCGCATTTTCAGGTCCTATCTGAAGCTGTACACCACCATGCCCCTGGACAAGATGGCTGGTTTCATGGAAATGTAAGTTCTCAATCTTCATTTGTCCTTGTTCAAAAGGTTTTCGCAAAATTGAAAATTGATCAGTTTATGTTGCCGTTCGGCATCATTAACTTTATTCTGATTTTTATTAAGACATAAAATAGAAAACAAAGATAACATGAAGCTTACGTTTTATCTTTTTCTAAAGAGATTTTAAACTTTTTTCACTTTGCTAAGGTGCCTCACTGATTTAATATACTTGCTAATGTGCTCGGCGTTATTCGTAAAATAAAAAAAATATACTTAATTTAGCTCATTCGGTCCAGCCGTTTGGTCGGCCATAGGGAACATGTATACGTACAAATGTATTGTTTTATTATATAGATAGATATACATTTTCTATAATAAAAAAACATTGTTCAGGCCCTCAGAGGAGTTCAGAAATCATGTTCTTGCGTTCAAGCATAAGATGAGGAACGTTGTCTGGACTAAGGTAAAAAATGAAATTTTTTAAACTTTAAATTATCTCCAGATTCTGAATTTAATAAGTTTGCCGCGTCTGAAATCCGCCAAAAACCGGCTTCAATGGAGCGCCGGCTTAAATCTTGAAACATTGAATACATTTTAAGTGGAAACAACCATATTTGTGTCGCGGCTCAAATTCTTTAAATTCGGCCTCAGGACTCTTTTAGTTGTGTTAGGCATTGAATAATATATAATTTTCTTATTTTTTACTTTGATTTATATCATACTTAATGCTTGAGGATCAAAAGTTAAGAATATACAGGGTTAACCACAAAGTATCAGACTTCAGAGACGACTGTAAGGAATTTACACTGTCTGTTTCCTTTTACTAATGATTCCCTTTCTAACTATAAACTTCTTTCTCTCTTTGTCAATTTAATAAACACGTCATTTAAATTATCACACTCAAGGACTTTTCTTCATCTTGGTATCGTCAAAGGGGGGGGGGCAATTCGACACTTTGCGACACCAAATTTTTACAGGCTGCGTTTGGTCTTGATAATTGAGATAGAAGGCTAAAATTTTGCATGCAGCCTCAAATTGTGGTAATTTACATAGATCACGATGCAAATTTGAGACCGGAGGTCATTGACCTTCATTTTGACCTTCATAATTCAGAAAATAAGGGAAAATACCACCTTTTTACTCTAATTCAATTATTTTAAGTTAATCAGACATGTTTTCATATTTTTTGTTAGCACATAATATAGACATGATATAGACACATCTATTCGACCTCCAATGGACCTCCAAAAAGTTCAACTATTAAATCAATAAAAACAAGTCATATGAGGTATCAAATCATAGATTTTTTGGTGTTCTGATTCCATTCTGATACCTTATTTGACCTCAGATGATCCTGGAGGTCGTAACATCCAAAATTATCTTACCTCAAGAGGTTAAAAAAAAATCAATAAAAATTAGTCCATGTGCGGTATAAAATCATAGTTTTTTTGGTGTTCTGATTCCATTCTGATACCCTTTACTGACCACCGATGATCTTAAAGGCATTTGACTCCTAGATATCAATGACTGACCTCAAGAAGTCAAAATTAGAAATCAATAAGAAGAAGTAATTCTGAGGTATTAAATCATAGGTTTTCTGGTGTTCCGATTCTGATCATTGATATCTGGAGGTCAGCGACCTTTAAACTAAACTAAACAAAATGGGTATCAGAATGGAATCGGAATACCAAAAACCCTATGATTGGATACCTAACTTGACTTAATTTCATTGATTTTATTATTTACGATCTTCAGGATCATCTGAGGTCAAAAAGGAGTACCAGAAAGGAATCAGAACACCAAAAAACCTATGATTTGATACCTCATATGAATTATTTTCATTAATTTCATTTTTTGACCGCCCGATGTTAGCAAATTTTGGATGTCACGACCTCCAGGATCATCTGAGGTCTAAAAAGGGGTATCAGAATGGAATCAGAACACCAAAAAACCTATGATTTGATATCTCACATACTTTTCATTGATTTAATATTTGACTATGTTGGAGGTCATTATCGAAGGGAGGTCAAAATGGAGGTCGGATATATGTGTCGATATCAGCGCATGACTTGTATGGTAGCAAAAAATATGAAAACATGTCCGATAAACTTATAACAATTGAATTAGAGTGAAAAAAGTAGTATTTTCCCTTATTCTTTGAGTTCATGGAGGTCAAAATGGAGGTGAATAATCTCCGCTCTCAAATTTTCTTCGTGATTTATATAGATGACCACAATTTGAGACTGCACGCAAAATTTCAGCCTTCTATTTGCTACTCATAATTGGAGATTGTCGAAAACCTTCAGATAAATTTTATTCCTCTTGATATCCCGTGGTGGACATACCCTGCAGGGATAACTTTAATCAAGTAATCAATCATTAATCCCACATTGTGTAATGATATCGAGATCAAGTGTTCAAGATTAACGATACTTAAAAGTTCCGACAACTATTTATTGTAATCTATATAAATACTTTGCTTGTCTATCTGTGTTTGTTTGTTTGTTTGTATCCAATAAACGTCGGCTGAACCGATCGGGCCCAAATTTTGCGTGGGATCTCACATGACCCCTGGGAACATGGATGATTAAAATTCAAAATTTAGCCTCCAACAAAATTCGATTTTCATTAAATTTAAAAAATCCTCGAATTCTATTTTTTACAATTAGCAATTTGTTTATTCTTACAGTGCTACAATTTTTACATTGAGAAAATGCTCTCAATTGAAAAATATTGTTCTATTTTTGTTAAATATTTAGGGAACCTCTGGGTTAGAAGGGGAGTTCCAGTCTGGCTCCGAGGTGGATTTCTACATAGATAAAAACATGATCCATATTGCTGATACAAAGGTAAGAAAAGGAGGTTGGGGATCAGTAAGGTTGTATATAAGCTTAAATACTCTGGATGCGCACCAATGAAGGTAAATGTCGTCTTTATTGCAATGGAGACAAATCCTCATATGAAGTCAGTAATACTTTGCCTTTGCTAATTATTGCACAGTTAACAAATATTGTTTGTGCTAACACGTTTGTGCTAAAAAATGCAATTCTAATTCAAGTTTTCAAACTTGTAAGTTCTTTTATATTTAGTGAGCCGCAAAATTTATTATTCTTTAAAATAAGCAGAGATCATATTGAGATTTTGAGTGTCCATTGCTACAATGGTCGTCTTTACCTATACATTAGAGCGCATCCAGAGTATCTATTCTTTATACAATCCTTGGGAATCAGTTTCTCAGGTCATCTCCAAACATTCATTATTCTCGGTTAATGCCTTATCAAACCAAAATATTTTTTACGTAGAAAGTGTAATTAAGTTTTAGATATTTTTATAGGTTCAGTTTTCTTCTCCTTTTGTACAAATTTGGTTTTAAGAATAACATTTTTCGTTAAATTTTTATTTTTATGATTGGATTTTTTTCCAATAAGAAAGATAAGTTTTTTTTACATTTTTGTTATTTTAGGTTGCGCGAAGATACGGAGACTTCTTCATTCGCCAGATTCACAAGTTTGATGAATTAAACGGAGCTCTCAAGAAAATCCAAATCTAGAACCGGATTTAGAAGTAGACGACATCTGTCTATTCTTGGATTCAAACTGGTTTATTCTGGTTTTATCTTGGTTCAAACGGAAATAATATAGTTGAAAGCTGGGTTGAACTGTTTTTTTCTCTGGTTTTTTAATTTCTGTAATAAAGCCGGTTCCTACAAATTTATTTTTATTTTCAATACTTATTAATTGTTGAATTTTTTAATGTGAATTTTTTAATTTATTTTTTTTTCTCTGAGATCGTAAAAGAAAAGCATTTTCAACCATTCTTATTTAGGTTTTTGTTTTCTTTTTACTTCATTTCATTTTCTTCTTTACTCCATTCCATTTTCTTCTTTACTCTATACCGTTTTCCTCTTTAATCTATAACATTTTATTTTTTACTCTATAACATTTTCATTTTTACTCTATACCGTTTTCATCTTTACTCTATACCATTTTCTTCTTTACTCTATATCATTTCATCTTTACTCTTTACCATTTTCATCTTTACTCTATACCATTTTCTTGTTAACTCTATACCATTTTCATCTTTACTCTATACCATTTTCATCTTTACTCTATACCGTTTTCATCTTTACTCTAAACCATTTTCTACTTTTCTCTATACCATTTTCATCTTTATACTTGACCATTTTCATCTTTACTCTTGACCATTTTCATCTTTACTCTATACCATTTTCCTCTTTACTCTATACCATTTTCATCTTTATTTTTGACCATTTTCATCTTTACTCTATACCATTTTCATCTTTACTCTATACCATTTTCATCTTTACTCTTGACCATTTTCTACTTTACTCTATACCATTTTCATCTTTACTCTATAACATTTTCATCTTTACCCTATAACATTTTCATCTTTACTCTTGACCATTTTCATCTTTACTCTATACCATTTTCATCTTTACTCTATACCATATTCATCTTTTCTTTATACCATTTTCATCTTTACTCTATAACATTTTCATCTTTACTCTATACCATTTTCATCTTTACTCTAGACCATTTTCTACTTTACTCTATACCATTTTCAACTTTACTCTATACCATTTTCTTCTTTACTCTATACCATTTTCATCTTTACTCTTGACCATTTTCATCTTTACTCTATACCATTTTCATCTTTACTCTATACCATTTTCTTCTTTACTCTATACCATTTTCTTCTTTACTCTATACCATTTTCATCTTTACTCTTGACCATTTTCATCTTTACTCTATAACATTTTCATCTTTACTCTTGACCATTTTCATCTTTACTGTATACCATTTTCATCTTTACGCTATAACATTTTCATCTTTACTCTATACCATTTTCATCTTTACTTTATACCATTTTCATCTTTACTTTATACCATTTTCATCTTTACTCTTTACCATTTTTATATTGACTCTTGACCATTTTCTTCTATACTCAAGCTTTGTAATTGTTTTCGGCAGTGCTTAGAATTGCTCTTAAACCACATTAGTCAACTAATAAGAGATTATAAATCCTTCCCAATCTCTGAATGGTTCATTAAGTTTCAGCGAAAAAAAAGAAAAGTTTTCAACTTTTTAAATTTGTTTTTAAAATCGGTAGTTATGAAGTTGAAGAATTGTTCAGGATCTGGATCCGGATACATATTTTTTGTCAGGGCGGATCCTTTTTAAAATGAATGAAGGAGGGTGTGCTGGGCCGCCACGAGCCCTGCGAACTGACCTCCGGAGCCTGCTAATACAACTCTCGTTATGTATCCAAGCTTCCGCTATTCTATCTCCTAAGAACTGGTTTTCAGTGAAACCAGTTCTGGCGCTAATCTTTATATGTCACAGTACAGAATAAAATCTTTCACCCCCTCCTCATAGATCTGTTTCTTCTATCTTATTGACAATTTTAAATTACTGGCTCTGGAGAAAATCCTTGTGTATGCTACTAATTACGAATTGAAGCTTTTTTTTAGCTTTAGTGCATGTTAATTGTCTATTTCCCTTGTTATTTGTTACTTGCTTCCATCCCTCCCCACCCAACCTTTAAACTCCTATATCTCTATTCTTCAATTTAAATGAATATAAACAGGGTTTACTCTGTAGTCTGCCTGAGGAAAAACAAGGTCCATTGCTACGCGCTTTTATCACCCTTACTCTTTATCAGGCTCTTATCCCTCTCTTACATTTTTGCTAAACTATCTTTTTCCTTCCTCACCCTTATTTTTTTGCTACACCTCCCTCTCACCCTTATTTTTTTGCTACACCTCCCTCTCATCCTTATTTTTTTGCTACGCTCCCTTTCACCCCTAGTCTTTGCTACACTCTCCAACTCTTTTTCTTTGCTACGCCTCTTACCATCCTTATTCGTCTCTTCTATGCTTCCATCTTTATTCTTTGCTACTACCCCTCCCATCTTAATTCTTTGCTACTCCCCCTCCCATCTTTATTCTGTGCTACTCCTCCTCCCATCTTTATTCTTTGCTACTCCCCCTCCCATCTTTATTCTTTGCTACTCCCCCTCCCATCTTTATTCTTTGCTACTCCCCCTCCCATCTTTATTCTTTGCTACTCCCCCTCCCATCTTTATTCTTTGCTACTCCCCCTCCCATCTTTATTCTTTGCTACTCCCCCTCCCATCTTTATTCTTTGCTACTCCCCCTCCCATCTTTATTCTTTGCTACTCCCCCTCCCATCTTTATTCTTTGCTACTCCCCCTCCCATCTTTATTCTTTGCTACTCCCCNCATCCATCCATATCCACCAAGTTCCTTCCATCCATCCAATTCCTTCCATATCCATCAAGTTCCTTCCATATCCATCAACTTTCTTCCATCCATCAAGTTCCTTTCATTTATCCAGTTCCTTCCATATAGCCAGTTCCTTCCATCCATACAGTTCCATCCATATCCACCAAGTTCCATCCATCAAGTTCCTTCCATACCCACCAAGTTCCTTCCATCCATCCATATCCACCAAGTTCCTTCCATCCAGTTTCTTCCATCCATCCAATTCCTTCCATATCCATCTAGTTCCTTCCATATCCATCAAGTTCCTTTCATCCATACAGTTCCTTCCATATCCATCAACTTTCTTCCATCCATCAAGTTCCTTTCATTTATCCAGTTCCTTCCATATAGCCAGTTCCTTCCATCCATACAGTTCCATCTATATCCACCAAGTTCCTTCCATCCAGTTTCTTCCATCCATCCAGTTCCTTCCATATCCATCAAGTTCCTTCCATATCCATCCAGTTCCTTCCATCCATCCAGTTCCTTCCATATCCATCCAGCTCCTTCTATATCCATTACGTTCTATCCATCCAGTTCCTTCCATATCCATCAAGTTCCTTCCATATCCACTAAGTTCCTTCCATATCCACCAAGTTCCTTCCATATCCAACAAGTTTCTTCAATCCATCCATTTCCTTCCATATCCTTAAGTTCCTTCCAGATCCACCAAGTTCCTTCCATTTCCACCAAGTTCCTTCCATCTATCTAGTTCCTTCCATATCCATCAAGTTCCTTCCATCCATACAGTTCCTTCCATCCATATCCACCAAGTTCCTTCCATCCATATCCACTAAGTTCCTTCCATCCATCCAGTTCCTTCCATATCCATCAAGTTCCTTCCAACCATCTAGTTCCTTCCAACCAACCAGTTCCTTCCATCTATCTAGTTCCTTCCATCCATCCAGATCCTTCCATACATTTATTTCCTTTAATTCATATATTTCCATCCATCCAGTTAATTCCATACATTTATTTCCTTCCATCCATCCGGTTCCTTCCATCCATCCAGTTCCTTTCATTCATCCAGTTCCTTCCATCCATCCAGTTCCTTCTATCCATCCAGATCCTTCCATCCATCCTGTACCTTACATATCTGTCCAGTTCATTCTATCCATCCAGTTCCTCCCATCCATTAAGTTCCTTTCTTTCATCTATTATTCTTTCTCATTCTTTCATATTTTATCCTTTCATTCCTTATCCTTTCTTATTTTTTCATCTCTTATACTTCCTCACTTTTTCATATCTTATCCTTTCATTCCTTATCCTTTCTCACTCTTTCATCTCCTATCCTTTTATTACTTATCCTTTCTCATTCTTTCATCTCTTATCCTTTCAAAGCATTAATTCCTCATCCTTTCTCATTCTTTTATCTCTTATACTTTCATTACTTATTCTTTCCCTTTCCTTCATCTATTATTCTTACTCATTCTTGCATCTCTTATCCCTTCCCACTTCTCGTCTCTTTTCCGTTCCCACTTCTCGTCGCTTATCCTTTCCCATTCTGTCATCCCTTATCCTTTCTTCTGCTATAATCCCATATTTTTTCCCATTCTTTCATTCCTCCGCCTTTCCTATTTTTATTCTTACTATTTTCTATCTATTTCAATATCCCTTATCCTTTCATCCCTTATATGCCCCCCCCTCCACCCCACCTAAGGCCCCCCTCTGCAGATGAAGCTGCAGACTGTCGGATAGTATATTTAGAACCATGTTGTTAGAACAATAAAGATAATAAACCCACACTTCCAGTCTCTAATATACAACCTCCACGTTGGGAGGAAACCATGGCCGCCATGAGCCTCCCAGATATGCCATGCAGCACCGAGCCTCCGCTCTGCAGGACAAGTTTACACTAAAAACAAGTTATAAAGTGAAGTAGATTTGATTTAAGCGGGATCTTTTTTTGGACATTTTTTTATGCGTAGATAAATCGTATAATTTTGTTATTGTTTTTAAGAATCAAAATTCAACTAAAAAGGTACACTTCTTAAATCAAAGATTTTAACAAATCAAATCGAATTCATTTGGTAATTTGTTTTCTTAGTATTTTCCTTATCGCGTAAAAAAATGGTATAAAATTTGAACTGCAAAGTGGAGGCTTGATGCTGGAAAGTAAATCTGGGAGGCTCATGGCGGCCGGAGGTTCCCTCGCTACTCCGCGTCAGCCTCAAGGATCCTCATCAAGGATCATTCAACCTCATTAAACTGGGACCAGGAGTATCATTTACTCGAGGTATACATACTACAGAGTGTCCCAATACTCCTTCTAGGTCAACTACAGGGTGTCCCAATAAACCTTCAAGGTTATACTACTTGGTGTTCAAATAAACTTTCTAGGTATACCACAGAGTGTTCCAATAAACCTTCTACGTATACTACTGAGTGTCCCAAAAAACATTGGAATTAAG